CGATTGGTGGAATTTCGGTGTTGTACACAGACGTTGTTCAAGTTATCGTTCCTACATGCGTAAATGTGTTCATTGAGGCGGGTGTCGAGGTTCCTTGCTGTTTCACCTACATAAATCTTGTCACAGCCTCCACAGCGTATAGTGTAAACTCCTGCGCTGACTGGTTCGTGGTGCTTGGATTTTGTTCTGGTTAGATCCTTTACTGAAATGCTGGAAGCGATGGCGACTCTGGTGTTAGGTTGTGAAAGCACTTTAGAAACATTCAGTGCAACCTGGCTGTTGGGAAGAATTATAACTTTGTTAGGAGTGGTGTTGGTGCGTGGAGAATTAATGATCTGAAGAGCTCTTTTGCAATCTTTGATGAAAAAGGAAGGAAAATGTAAATCGTTGAAGGTTTGGTGAATGTATGTACATTCCTCGTCAAGAAACTCAGGACTACAAATTCGGTATGCTCTCAGGAAAAATCCGATGATGCCTCTTTTGGTCCTAGTATCTTGACTGGAATAGAAGTGTATGAGATCATTTTTATTAGTATGTTTCCGATAAACTTGAAATCTTAGGTTGTTGTCTACTTTGTGAATGAAGACGTCTAGGAAAGGTAGCTTGTCAGTGGACTCTTCTTCTAGTCTAAACTTTACATATTGTCGGTAATTCTACCAACTTTATTACAAGAACTTTTATTGTGACAACGTTCATCACTGTGTAGAGCGTTTATTGTGAGAGCGTTCATCACTGTGCAGAGTTTTATCAACACAGGAGAAAGATTTAAACTCAAGAAAACCCTCAGTGATGGCTGTTCTTGATTTGCCGCTACTCTCGCGTCCCGGGTCTTTTCCAGATGGCTCCCTGTCTTGGGAGTGTCTTGAGACCTATGTCTATCATGGGAGTTGGCATCGTCTGGGATCAACTGTCCCCAGGCCTAGCCCTTTGACCCGCCCTCACGGGGCTCGTAGGGAGAAGCTAGGCCTCTGGTCTGCCATCTTTCCCACCCCAGAGGGGCTCGTTGGAATGGCAATCTTATGAGCTGCAGTTGGTAGCAAGCTCTAGTTCTGGCACCTTCCTTGCCCTAAGATGGCTCGTGGGAGTGGTGTCCCCCTTATTCTTCTGGATTATTATATTATTTTTTTAAAATACCATTATAATATTTTATTACGGTATTCCGTATATTTTAAGTATAATTATTATAGCTATATTTTTTATAATAATTTATTATTATTATTATTATTATTATTATTATTATTATTAGAGCTGTGATTCCTAAGTGTTTAGTGCTTTCCCATGTATATAATAATTACTTTACCCCTACCCTGAACTACCCTAGCTACTTATTCTAACCTACCCTTCCCTAAACTACGCAAGCAACCTAAGTTACCCTTGAAAACTACCCTCCAAACTATTCAATTAATCTGCCTCACACTACCTGATAACCAAAGCTAAATTACTCTGGTAATTTAGTAATCCAACCTAAAGCCACGCTTGTTATATACTCTAAACTAACATAGTAACCTTACCTAAATTACACTAGTAATCTAATATTAACTAAATAACAAAACAAAAAAAGGCACAATACCGTGACTGGAACGATACACAAATAACCCGCACATAAGAGAGAAGCTTACGACGACGTTTCGGTCCGACTTGGACCATTGACAAAGTCACACTAACCAGAAGTGGAGTAGGACGGCTATATATAGGCAGGAAGAGGTGGGGGTAGTAGTAGCAGTAGTAGTAGTACCCAACCCTAGACCACGCATGTAATCAGTTCAATATTAACCAAGTAATCTACTTTAAACTACCCTAGAGATCTACTCTTAACTTTCGTCGAAACCTGCCCTAAACTACTTTTGAAACCAATCTACAATTATTCTCCTAACGTCACTAAACTACACTTGCAACCTACCATAAAGTATTCTAGTAAGCTACTTCAGTAACTAAACTACTTTACTAACTAACATCGTACACAACAATAAACTTACTTGACTCAAGAAATCGTAATGACACGATTGCAAATAAACCATACCCCCGGCCGGGATTGAACCCGCGGTCATAGAGTCTCAAAACTCCAGCCCGTCGCGTTAGCCACTAGACCAGCTAGCCACAATAAGATTCATCCAACTAGGTATATTTCTACACCATAGGAAAGTTAGCACAGGCACCTCTGTGACCACAAATGCAAGTTTTTACAGACGAATCTCCAGCTAGCGTGGCCGTGACGAACTCTAGCTCAAGTCCCTTCACTGCCGTCAACATGACTCAAGAAATCGTTAGCTGGTCTAGTGGCTAACGCGACGGGCTGGAGTTTTGAGACTATGACCGCGGGTTCAATCCCGGCCGGGGGTATGGTTTGTTTGCAATCGTGTCATTACGATTTCTTGAGTCATGTTGACGTACCATGACTCGCTGCTGTCTTCCTGACAAGTATTCGCTGATCCATTGTAGTGTCTTCCCTGTTATCCCTGCATGATCCTCCAGTTTTTGCACTAATTTCTTGTGTGGAACTGTGTCAAACGCCTTCTTGCAGTCCAAGAAAATGCAATCCACCCACCCCTCTCTCTCTCTTGTCTTACTGCTGTCACTATGTCATAGAACTCCAGTAAGTTTGTGACACAGGATTTCCCGTCCCTGTTCCAGGTGTTCCACCACTCCTTTTTTAAAGATTGGGACTACATTTCTGTCTTCCATGCCTCAGGCAATCTCCCTGTTTCGATAGATGTATTGAATATTGTTGTTAGAGGTACACATAGCACCTCCACTCCCTCTCTCAGGACCCATGGAGAGATGTTATCCGGCCCCATTGCCTTTGAGGTATCTAGTTCATTCAGAAGCCTCTTCACTTCTTCCTTGGTTGTGTGTACTGTGTGTACTTGGTGGTGTGCCCCACCTGTCTTTCTGGAGCGCCTTCTGTCTTCTCTGGGAACACTTTTTTGTATCTCTTGTTGAGTTCCTCACATACTTCACAGTCATTTCTTGTTGTCTCCTCCTTCCTTCCTTAGCCTGGTTACCTGGTCCCTTACTGTTGTTTTCCTCCTGACGTGGCTGTATAACAGATTCGGATTAGATTTGGCTTTCGCTATGACGTTTTCTTATTGTCGTTGGGCCTCCTTTCTTATCTGTGCATATTCATTTCTATCTCTACGACTGCTCTCCTTATTCTCCTGGGTCCTTTGCCTTCTATATTTCTTCCATTCCCTAGCACACTTGGTTTTTGCCTCCCTGCACCTTTGGGTAGTCCATGGGCTCATCCTGGTTTTTTCATTATTCCTGTTACCCTTGGGTACAAACCTCTCCTCAGCCTCCTTGCACTTGTTGCTACATATTCCATCATCTCATTAACTGGCTTCCCTGCCAGTTCTCTGTCCCACTGAACGCCATTCAGGAAGTTCCTCATTCCCGTGTAGTCCCATTTCTTGTAGTTTGGCTTCATTCGTCCTGCCCTTCCTGCTTTCCCCTCCACTTGTAGCTCTACTGTGTATTCGAAGCTTAAAACCACATGATCGCTGGCCTCAAGGGGTCTTTCATATGTGATGTCCTCAATATCTGCACTACTCAAGGTGAATACTAGGTCCAGTCTTTCTGGTCCATCCTCTCCTCTCTCTCTTGTAGTGTCCCTTACGTATTGGTACATGGCCCCCATGTGGCTCCAAGTTCTCCCTATCGATCTCCTTGTGGTTAGTCACCCATGATCAGGAGCTTTGCCCTGCATGCATGAGCTCTTCTGGCCACTGCAGCCAGTGTGTCAACCATCACTCTATTGCTCTCATTATACTCTTGCCTTAGACTCCTGCTGTTCTGTGGTGGTATATACATCACTGCAATTACCACCTTGTGACCTCCTGAGTGAAGGGTTCCCACTATGTAATCGCTTGCTTCTACGCTGTCTCCTCTCGCCAGATCATCAAAATTCCATCGGTTTTTAATCAGCAGTGCCACTCCTCCACCCCCCCCCTGTTCCCTCTGTCTTTTCTCAGGATCTGGTATCCCTATGGAAAGATGGCATATGTTATCATACCTGTACGCTTGTTTTCTGTGAGAGCTATGATGTCCGGTGATGCCTCTTTGACTCTTTCATGCCACTCCTCCCACTTATTTGTTATTCCATCAGCGTTTGTGTACCATACCTTCAGTTTCCTTTCCAACACTGTTGTTTGGGGGGCCTGTGAAGGTGGGAGACTTGGTAGCATACTGTGGGATTCTATAGCTGGGTGTTGGGTGGAAGCTGTGAGTATGGATTGTAGTTTGTGTTGGGATGGTGTGATAGGTTGTGGGGTTCTGAGGATAGTTCTGTGTGTACTTGCCCTTGCTGCTCTGTCCTGCTCTGATTGGCCTCTGCTGGTTTCATCCTTGTCTCCTTTCCTAGCTCCTTTCGCTTTTTTGTCCTCTCCCTCACCCTCTTGTACTCTTCCGAGTATTTCAGCTGTGGTTTCTCTTGGAGGATCCTGTTCCCCAATGTTTCTGTCCTGAGAATCAGCTTGGTTGGTCGTTTTCTCCCCTTCAAGTACCCCCCTATTCTCTGAAAATTTACAATCTCGTCCATCTCGTCTTCACCTATTTCCGTGATGATTTTCTCAATCTCCTTTCTTTCTGCCTGCCGTCTTTCAGTGTGTGTGTGTGTGTGTGTGTGTGTGTGTGTGCATGTGCATGTGTATACAGTAAGATCACAGTAAACAGATATCACAATATGCAATATATGTATAGGCATGTATGCATCATTTAACTATGTATTCACGTACGGATATGTACATGAGCGTGTGTAGTTATGTACATATACATGTGTATAAATGTATACCTGCACCTCTTCAAAAGACCTGTCTTAAACTCCGGAGCTTCTTGAGAGGTCTCTTGCCGGGGTTTAGCAGCAGCTTCTCTGCTTCTTGGAGGTCTGGAGGTATAACTAATAAGTCTCTTGTGTACAGTGAGATACAGTAACCGAAACAGAGCTAGTTATTATTATTATTATTATTATTATTATTATTATTTTTATTAATATTCTCTTTTTACAGGTGGAGAGTATGTTGGGGGTCACCATGCTGATGTTTATAATGATGCAAGGTAAGTATTTGATACCGTTGTGTGTGTGTGTGTGTGTGTGTGTACTCACCTAGAACTCACCTAGTTGTGGTTCCAGGGGTAGAATCGCGTGTGTGTGTACTCACCTAGTTGAGGTTGCAGGGGTCGAGTCCAAGCTCCTGGCCCCGCCTTGTGCGTGTGTGTGTGTCTGTGTCTGTGTGTATCTTTCTGTATCTCTATCTTATATATTTCCTTTATTAAACAGCAAGCAGTGACATGTACAATATTTACAGAGGATACATACAGCGTCGACCAGACTTGGAGGTAAGTCTGCCAGAGTTGATTCACAAGTGTACCACAGGTGTATTGTTTTGTTTGGGACTGATGAAGCCACTATGTGGCGAAACGTTTCCTTAATAAAGATTCCCATATGTTGAACATTAAAATGGTATAAAATACCGACAGGTTGTCAGGTTGTTTAGGAAAACCTGACCTTGTTCTTAATGTATAAAAGACCACTCCCGTGGTTCTTAATATGGCATCTGGAGAATGTCATCAATGGTACCTGGAACATACATCACTGGCACCTGGAAAATGTCATCAATGGCACCTGGAAAATGTCATCAATAGCACCTGGAAAATGTCATCAATGGCACCAGGAAATGTCATCAATGGCACCTGGAAAATATACCATGGCACTATGAAAATACATCAATGGTACCATGATGATGCAAGACACCACCCCACATGATGACACTCTTCAGGTCGCTTGTTCTATCTAGGCTGGAATATTGCTGCACACTAACAGCACCTTTCAAGGCAGGTGAAATTGCTGACCTAGAAAATGTACAGAGAACCTTCACGGCACGCATAACGGAGATAAAACACCTCAATTACTGGGAGCGCTTGAGGTTCCTGAACCTGTATTCCCTGGAACGCAGGCAGGAGAGATACATGATTACATACACCTGGAAAATCCTAGAGGGACTAGTACTGAACTTGCACACGAAAATCACTCACAACGAAAGCAAAAGACTTGGCAGACAATGCAACATCCCCCCAATGAAAAGCAGGGGTGTCACTAACACGTTAGTAGACAATACAATAAGTGTCAGGGGCCCGAGACTGTTCAACTGCCTCCCAGCATACATAAGGGGGATTACCAATAGACCCCTGGCAGTCTTCAAGCTGGCACTGGACAAGCACCTAAAGGCGGTACCTGACCAGCTGGGCTGTGGCTCGTACGTTGGATTGCGTGCAGCCAGCAGTAACAGCCTGGTTGATCAGGCTCTGATCCACCAGGAGGCCTGGTCACAGACCGGGCCACGGAACTCTCTCCAGGTAAACATTATTTTTATCATTATCTATCTCCTGTCCCCCTCAAACTGAAAGCCCTGATCCAAAATGCTGAAGCACCAGAAGTTCTTAAAACGTTTTCTGGGTTTCGGTCGTACTAGTACGGCTTACGCGCCAGGGTTTTTGACATACTAGTACGCATAAATTCTAGTGCCCTCAAATCTAGCAAGAGAAATCTGGTAGGCCTACATATGAAAGAATGGGTCTGTGGTCAGTGTGCGCAGTATAAAAAGAATCCTGCAGCACACAGTGCGTAATGAGAAAAAAAAAACTTTGACCGTGTTTTTGGTTTAAAACAGCGATTTGCACTGTATTTTCGTATGGTATTTATTGTTGTATTCTAGTTTTTCTGGTTTTATTTTATAGAATGGAAGACATTTTACAGAAATTGAGATGATTTTGATTGGTTTCACAATGAAAAGTACCTTGAAATTGAGCTCAAAGTAGCAAAAATGTTCGATTTTTGCCAAAGTTCAAAAGTAAACAAATCATGCCATGCGTCCAGTACACGTCAACTGGTGAGTCTAATATTCTTTCACAAGCGCGCTGATATTATTTATACCATTTCTATACTAATACAGTAATCTGCATAACAGTAAATCTTCTATTTTTTTTGTGAGAATAAAAATTCAAAGTGGAAAGCAAAAGAAATGTAAGAGGGGCGTGGGGATGTGACTAATGAACAGAGGAAATGTTATTTTAGTGCCAGGAATGTCTTTCTTTTTTATTCTGCACCCTATTTGGAAATTGGCATCTTTTGAAATTTGTGTGAAATTGGCAAAATTGCTAAATTCTGACCACTTTATTGGATAGTTGAAATCGGTAAATGGGTGGTTTCTTGTACTCATTCGATAGAAAAAATGGAGTTCTAGCGAAATAGTTATGATTTTTGTCGACTAGTATACTGGAATTAGCCGAAAATAGGGCTCAAAGTGGGCAAAATCGCCGATGCGTAAACATCGTCGAGACCGCTCACTTCGCGAGAGCATAATTCCGTAAGTTATCCATCAAATTTCATACTTTTAGTGTCATTATGATCGGGAAAAGATTCTCTATCTTTTCAAAAGAAATTTTTTTTTTTTTGTTTTTAAATCATGGCGACCCTGAGAACAAGTCTCTGAGAGGGCCTGGGGACCCTCAAAGGATTATTAACGTAAAACAATAACTGCCGTATCACAATATTTTATATCATATTTGATTAGTTCATAGGGAATATTTTGACCTTGAATCACCGCCCATAGTTCTTAATGAGTATAAGAGCACTCCCGTGGTTCTTAATATGATGTAAGAACTGTCGTCCTCCCTCCACCTGTCTCGTCCAACACCAGCTTAACACCCTTTCCTCGAAACATGTTCCCCTTCCCTCCCAATACCACTCAAGACGTACCCTCTTTCACACCCATCCTCTCTTATACCCACCCTCTTTTACACCCATCCTCTCTTACACCCACCCTCTTTCACACCCATCCTCTCTTACACCCACCCTCTTTCACATCCACCCTCTCTCACACCCACTCTCTCACACCCACCCTCTCACACTCCCACCCTCTCCCACTCCCACCTTCTCTCACAACCACCCTCTCACAGACCCACCCTCTCTCACACCCACTCTCCTCTCCCACCCTCTCTCACACCCACTCTCCCACCCACTCTCTTGCAGGTCGAGGAGCTATGACTCGACCCCTGCAAACCACAGTTAGGATAGTATACACACACGCATGCACGCGCGCGCGCACACACACACACACACACACACACACACACACACACACACACAGACACACACACACACACACACTCACACACACTCACACACACACTCACACACACACTCACACACAGAAGCTAGAACATCAGGCGCATATAACAGGAAGGGCACTGCAATGGATCAGAGAATACCTGACAGGGAGGCAACAACGAGTCATGGTACGTAATGATGTATCACAGTGGGCACCTGTGACGAGCGGGGTCCCACAGGGGTGGGTCCTAGGACCAGTGCTATTTTTGGTATATGTGATCGACATGACGGAAGGGTTAGACTCAGAAGTGTCCCTGTTTGCAGATGATGTGAAGTTAATGAGGAGAATTAAATCTGATGAGGACCAGGCAGGACTTCAAAGAGACCTGGACAGACTAGACACCTGGTCCAGCAAATGGCTTCTCGAATTTAATCCTGCCAAATGCAAAGTCATGAAGATAGGGGAAGGGCACAGAAGACCACAGACAGAGTATAGGCTAGGTGGCCAAAGACTGCAAACCTCACTCAAGGAGAAAGATCTTGGGGTGAGTATAACACCGAGCACGTCTCCGGAAGCACACATCAATCAGATAACTGCTGCAGCATATGGGCGCCTGGCAAACCTGAGAACAGCATTCCGATACCTTAGTAAGGAATCATTCAAGACACTGTACACCGTGTATGTCAGGCCCATACTGGAGTATGCAGCACCTGTTTGGAACCCGCACTTGATAAAGCACGTCAAGAAACTAGAGAAAGTACAAAGGTTTGCGACAAGGTTAGTTTCAGAGCTAAGGGGAATGTCCTATGAAGAAAGATTAAGGGAAATCGGCCTGACGACACTGGAGGACAGGAGGGTCAGGGGAGACATGATAACGACATATAAAATACTGCGTGGAATAGACAAGGTGGACAAAGACAGGATGTTCCAGGGAGGGGACACAGAAACAAGAGGCCACAATTGGAAGTTGAAGACACAAATGAGTCAGAGAGATAGTAGGAAGTATTTCTTCAGTCATAGAGTTGTAAGGCAGTGGAATAGCCTAGAAAATGACGTAGTGGAGGCAGGAACCATACACAGTTTTAAGACGAGGTTTGATAAAGCTCATGGAGCGGGGAGAGAGAGGGCCTAGTAGCAACCGGTGAAGAGGCGGGGCCAGGAGCTAGGACTCGACCCCTGCAACCACAAATAGGTGAGTACAAATAGGTGAGTACACACACACACACACACTCACACACACACACTCACACACACACTCACACACACACACACACACACACACTCACACACACACATGCACACACACACACACATGCACACATGCACACACACACATACACACATGCACACATACACAAACACACACACACACCAGAGTCACAGAGGGAGAGGCAATGGGAGGAGGAAAGGGCAAAATCAGTGTTTATCCATGGGCTTCAGGAGAGAGAGGAAAGGACACACACTGAAAGACGGCAGGCAGAAAGAAAAGAGATTGAGAAAATCATCATGGAAATAGGTGGAGAAGACATGGACGAGATTGTAAATTTTCAGAGAATAGGGGGGTACTTGAAGGGGAGAAAACGACTGATTAAGCTGATTCTCAGGACAGGAACAGTGCAGAACAGGATCCTCCAAGAGAAACCACAGTTGAAATACTGGGAAGAGTACAACAGGGTGTTCCTAGACAGAGACAGAACACAGAACGACAGCAGCTGAGAGAGAGGACAAAAAAGCGAAAGGAGCTGGGAAAGAAGACAATGATGGAACCAGCAGAGGTAATCAGAGCAGAACAGAGCAGCAAGGGCAAGCACACACACAATTATCCTCAGAACCCCACAACCTATCACACCATCCCAACACAAACTACAATCCATACCCACAGCTTCCACCCAACACCCAGCTATAGAATCCCACAGTATGCTACCAAGTCTCCCACCCTCACAGGCC